TACTTTGTTACTGCCCTGAGAAAAACATGGATGTAAAATCAAAATGAAGTATGGATCTAGTCTGTACTAAGTATTTCCGTTACTTCTTTTCAAAAGCATCAGTGAAGGATCTAAACAGAGAAGGAGGAAGCAGGGATGAAGAAAAGCACTTGGAAATTTCACTTCTGTGGAACATCTTGCTGACAGTTGGCTTGCACTCATAAGCACCCCCAGTGACCTGCGTTTGCAGAACTAGACAGTGTTGCTATAGATGTAGGTTTCAAGGTACTCAGAAAAACTCTTGAACTGTGGCTCAACATTAAATTCAGAGCACTTTTGGTACTCCCTGCGTGACACCGAAACCACAGTCAGTAGGGGATTTAAACCACTGATCTGTCCTAAAAGCCTTCTACCCATTCCTATTTGAAAAAAGTTACTGGGTTATGCTTGTGCCTGTAGAGTATATGCTGGGTTACATCACATCTGCCAACGCTGTTGCTCTGAAACCTCAACACCCAACTCCTGCAGGAGTTTTTCCATGAGTTTAATCAACATGCAACACCAAGACACACTGCGCAGCTCCTTTGCAGACTGGATCCTGAGACCTCCCGCAGCAGCAAGCTGAGGCTTCAGCCCCATGGAGAGAAGAAGCCACAAGAGGCTGCCTCTGCTCCAGGACCTGCCCGTACTGGAAGTGCTAAACACACTGCTTGAGCTGGCAGTTCTTCCCTGCAGCACATTGGTCTCTGCTGTGTTTCAGGGCAGATTACCTCAGCCTTTTGTTTCTGACTTTTGCTCAGATATGGAGAAAGCCCCAGGAAGCTTTGGTTGGCCCAACCCAAGCCAGAGGCTCCCTGGGGGCAGCTCAGATGGACAAGGATTCATGTGGACACCCCTGCTCCACCGCCACGAGGCAGCTCTCCTTCTGAGGCCCACAGGGACCTCCAGCCTCTTTGTTTGTCCTACTTCCTCCTGAACACTCTAGGCTGGTGCTCCACACTGCCAAAGCCTCCCGCCAGAGAGCAGCTTTTGTCATCTGAGTACAACATATTTTAGCAATATAAAGTGATTTATTTAGCTCTAAAACATTCAGGCCAGCGAAATCACGCACCCCACACCTCCTTCCCCCAGCCAGCCACTGCCCAGCAAAACTCCCATAACGTGAAATGAGCTTTTAAACTAAATCACAGTTCCACATCGCGATGTAGCGTTGGCCCATTGATTTACAGCCAGCTTTTCCACTAGCTCTCTCTTGCCTGCCTCTCCTTGGGCACTGTGTGGTGGCTTACTGCAGCACACAACATTGTGGCCTCCCCTTGGATTTTGCTGTCTTGAGCTGACATGTAGATCGTCATTTAGTTGACCTGAGGAGCGGTGGAATGGAAATCAGCAGCCCTTTCTGCCACCACTGAGCCCTCTGCTCATCTAGCATGGGGAAATAGTACCTCATGCCTCTGTCCATGAGGTACCTGATTAAATCTTCTGGCAATGGTTTCTTTTAATCTCCTGTTCCTCTGAAAAGCCAACCTTAGGAGAATGTCACTTAATGCTGCTGTCAGTTCTCCAGAAGTAGGACTGTGCAGAAATGCAAAACCTACCAAAATCAGGTACAGGGTGTCCAATAACTACTTTTCTTTTCTGCATAAAGGACTTTTGAGCAGGTAATAGCCACAAGCCACAGTGGGAGCATGCATACACGTTGGTGAGGAAAGGAACTGCAGAATGCTGCTGTCCTGCTGGTGTGGAGCATGGCCAGGTAGCCAGATTCAGCCACCCTTCAGCTCAAGTGTTGGCTATGTGCAACTACACATTTCTGCAGCCAGAAGATCTGTCCACCAAGGAGATATGGCAGACTCCAAGAAATTCTTCTCTGATTGCTGCTGAAATTTTACAGCTTCACTCTCTGTCATCTCCTCTTGCCCACCTGGGTTAGCAAAAGAGGGAACCTGTGACAGCCAGATGCCAAATAATGGTAGCAAGACTGGCTTGCATCCCCTTTCTCCAGCCAGATCAAAAAGAAGAGAGGAAAAAAAGAAAAGGTGATCTTAATGCAGATCTAAACACACACCTTCTCCCAAATTTCAACCCACTCTGAAGTCTGCTGGCCATCATTTGTCACTTCTTTGCTGTAACAGGGCATGGGATGAGTGAGAAGAGCCAGTATGCTCAAACTGAGTAGTCTGAACAATTATCTCCATCACATGTGAACTGCAGTATGTGAGTTTGATAAGAGGATTGATCACTCCCAGTACTCATATGCTTGGTGGTAAGGGAGGAAGCAATCAGATATATAAATGCTGACCAGGAGAAGACCCAGGCTGTCATGACTGCCCATGCAGTAGGCCAGAAATAAATAACCACCAGACCAGTAGTGCTTGGGAAAAACTACTTGGATGTGGCAACAACCAACATTGAGAGCAAAATGCATGACTGCCACAGGTCTGGCCCTAAAAAAATAAATAAATCCATTATGCAACACAGCAGGCATCTGGCCACAAGGGAGACAAATGATAATTCAGATCGGACGTACCAGGCAGCACAAAAAAAAAAGCCATTAAAGCAGATGTGATCTTCTTTGTCAAGTGGTCTCACCATGACCAGATTCTGCATATCAGTTTGTCAGCAGCCTTCTTCAAAGGAAACTTAGTACTGAGTAGCCTACAGAAATTTTCTGCAAGTGGCTAAAGAACTACTTACCAGATTGTGATAAAAAGAGGTACAATTCCTGCCATTCGTGTGTTCTGTCCTCAGACAGGAAGACATTATTAGCAAACAAATCACTGAAAAACTATTTTCTCAGATAAAACTCAGGAGAAGGAGAGATGCTATAAGGCAATGTGACTGACTGTATAACAATTGCTAAATTTAAAGAGAAAAATACATATCCGTACATCCATATGCATATAACACATATGTAGATATGTGTGTGTAGAGTGAAGTGCTAAGTGAAAGAGAACTGCAGTTTTGGAAAACTGTGAAGCCTCCTTAATCTGTGCTACTGCTCTAAGGTGGCATTAAACTCAGTTGGATGCACCCAGCAGCAAATGGGAAACCTGTATCACCTCTAGCAGGATGTCCATGTGAGGAATGTCTCTGAACTTATCAATCAAGCAGAATGCATAATCTGCAAAACTGGTTGCACAGGGTTTGGAGTAGATTCTATTCTACTTGACAGATCAAGAAAGATAGTAATAAAGCTGCAATTTCAGGGAGAAAAAGCTGGTACATCTGACAGTTATCTAAACATGCAATACAGAACATACACTATGTTAAAACTGTATAGAAAGATTTCTCTGATTATAAAAAGTAAATGAAGGCAAAAACAGAAGAAAGATGAAAAAAATTGGAAATAGTTTATTTGCTGCATAAGGAAACTTCTTGTAAATTACATATAAAGAAACTTGCTATGTTGTAGTATATAATTTTCAATATTCCACAAAGATAGTTGTAATAAATATACAAACCGAAACAAAGTAGAAGACTAAATCCATCAGGCAACCTACAAAATGGTTCATCAAGTTTTATACTTTGCAGCATTAGCATGCTTAAAATCTTGTTGTTCATTCTGAAGTGCTGCAGCAAAATTCTTTTCACATTTCTTTGGAGCATTTTCAAAACCATTTAACTATAAAACACTGTTTAAAATTAGCAGGCATTAGTTAAACCACCCAAGAAAAGTATCACCAAGGTGTAACTGATGCAAAGGAGTGATTTCTGGTTTTGCTTTTATAATCCATTTTAGTTTTGCCAGGGTTAGGGTTTATCTAAGTGCACTATGAGTCCAGTCAGTCTGAGGCACTGCTGACTCTTGTCACATCATGACTCTATATAAACTTTGTAGGTTATACAGCTCTGGAAGATTTCTCTATTAGAGACATATCTCACTAACAGGAATTAAAAAAACCACAAACCGTAGTGAAGCTGCAAGCTAGTTAGAATGGTTGTAGCCTTAAGTGCAGTGTGTGCTTAGAAACACTTTTCCATAGATTCATACTACACCACATCAGGCATTTTCATTTGATATTTAAATTTAAAAGTGCTGATAGAGGCTTTATTTATCCCCTGGCCTCTATAAACAACATGTAGAAATTTTTTGAAACACCTTTTGCTGTCCTCCACCTATCATTTTCATATTTTTTGAAAGAGCAGGCTGAATTGCATTTTACACTTCACTGCTCTGGACCACACTGACAGCCAGGTCTCTTACTCCATGCAGATCTTCCACAAACTTAAAACACTTCACTATGCTTCACTATTATTGAAGACTTGGGGGTATAAAAAGAAACTCTCTAAAACACGATTAAAAATATTTGTTAATAAGCTTAATGCAAACATTATGTAGAAAAAATGATTTAGTTACAAAAAAATTCATTAGAGGGCCGATAAAAATATACTGAAGAGAAGATCTTTACAAAAGTGAGGTTAGGAAGTATGAGGCATTGACATTCACTGTAAACATCCTGTGTTCACTAGAATCCCTTGTCTAAAGTATATGTTCTGGTTTTGTTCCTGAGCTTCATGGCCAACACTTGCATAGATAGCTAAACCTATCATAAAGGGTTGTTTACACAGATGTTTCTGTACTGCTTCGTACAGAACTTAAAAAAACTTATGATTTTACCTTTTGAAATAGTTTCATTCCACTACCAGGCAGGTCGAGGAAACTATGAAGCATGGTATGATTTTTGTATTCTCAGTGCATTGGATGGGTTGGGACAGCTACTTTACGGTGTGTTGAATAATATTACACTAGGAAGTGTAGCTGTTTGATATTCTGGCTTAGCATAAATATCTACTTCTGCTCACTGCTGCAAGGCTCACTTCTGCTCTGCCAAAGACTGCATATGGCAAAATGTCAGGAATCTGAGTACTACAACATTAAGCAACTAAGTTAATCCCCAATATCAAGATGCAGCTTATAAAACAGTACAAAAGACCTTAAAGAGAAATTCACCTTTACTCAGGCAACACGAGTGCTTTCCTCTAGATTAACCTCCCTCTATTGGAGGAAGCTAGAAAGTACATGACACAGAGTGGCCTAAGTAAAAAGTCTAAAGAACGTACTCGCATTTTGGGTAGGAAAAGCAGGCGTGTGTTGAGTTACTGCACACGCAAATGCACATGGGAAGTGGTAGAGACAAACAAACAAATCCACCTCACAAACAGCACAATAACACAAAAGCAGCAAATTGCCAATCTTAAAACTTATGGTAAGACAAATCTAAGTAAACACTCATAACAGGATTAATAAAAATGGGGAGTTTTCCTTGGCTTTTTTGTTTACTTTTTCTGTGATTGGCTTTTACACATTGACAGGATTTGTTTAAGCACTTTCTGGACATCTTCATCCATTTGACCCTAGACAAGTGGAGAAAGAAGAAAAGATAGTTGAATTCAAGCATCTCTCTACACCTTAAGAAAATGTACAAACTATTTTTGAGGCACAGTAGTTAAATGAATTTCACAAAAGGAAGTGCTGATAAATTTGTGCTTAAAGAGTCATAACTTTTAGGTAGCATGTCTTAGACAAAACATGCAAAGCTCTTTAGAGACCTGCAGAAGAAACATCGTTCACTAAAATACCACTAAAATACCAATGCGGTAACTGCCAATATACAACATACCTGCACAGCATAGAGAAGATGCATCCTGTAAACTGAGACAATTTCCTGATGTTGTTTCTTTGTTTCCTAGAAAATAGGCGGGCAGAAAGAGCATTCAGAATGCATGAATTTGGAACTCCCCAACTAGATTTAGAGAGCTCTGGGGAATTACAAACTATAGTCTTATGTATGCCTGGAAAACCAGCTCAGGCAGTACTGTGCCACCAGCCGTCCGAAACAGTTTTCTAGGAAGTGTGGTCCAGAGAAACACTGTAATTCTACCCATCCCAGTAATAAAGCTGGTGAGAAGACATCTGTTGTAAGAAGTGCTAATGTTAAATTCATCATGTGGAATGATCACATCCTCTTTTTCTGAGTTAATCAGCAACCAGAAGTGAGGAAAGCCAGCAATATTCTGACAAACCAGCCCTCACTGGCAACCAAGCTTCCTCCCTGAAGTCAGTGACCTGTCTGTCAGCTAATGCCTTCCCAGGGAGGAGGAGGTTCTTACCAAGATCTTAATCCATGAACTATTCTTTTAGTTACTACATATTTAAACAAGGAAAGCCAACTTTCTTTTTCATGATGACAGATTGCCAGATCCTAAAAGCAAACTTTTTGAATAAATACAAAGCTCTTAGGACAGCTAGCCTACAAGAAAGAAAGAGTGCCTCTGTCCTGTTTTAAATCCTACCCACTTTCCTAATGTCTTACCTATCTTTGCACCCTACACTGCTTTGTTGGTCTTTAAGCAGTTGGAGAAGAAGGGTCCTTTTGGACTTGATGAACAGAGATAAGAAACTGTCTGGGCTTTTACACTGAGATGATGCAGTGTTTAACTGTCTGCCTACGTATTTCTCCCCACTGCAAGGTATTTTTTCTGGCCCATATATGTACTGACTCTTCTTTCTCTCTGCTGGGGAAGGCAGGAAGGCAGACATCAGGTAAGCCATTTAGCATGTCAGGCTGCAAATTCTCCTTTCAGAGTTATTCCAGAGCTCTCAACAAAGGCCTCTGGTGGGCAGTAACTTCTTTTCACCTTCAGTAGTGCATTAAAGTGCTCCTTTGGACAGGTCACCTCTTGGAAATAGCAATTATGATTCAACCCAGCTTAGAAAACCCGACCTTTCATGCACAAAATCTTTAAGCCGTTCAGAATTTCAGAGAATAATCTGTGCTCCCTATAAACAGACGGAGGTGCTTGATTTGAAACTTCATGTCTTCAGTAGCTACTTTCTTTCAGAAAGTCAAACTTAATTTAGCTTAAAAAAACAGTAAGAGTTCAGCTGATGAATGTTCTTCAGAAAACACACAAGTCCATGCACACTGGCCATATTTTTCACAAATCAGGATCTCAACAACAGGTCTGGTCATGACCTCTCACTACCAGTACAGGAACTTTGCTCCACTATTGATCTGAGGAAATATATTGAGGAAAAGTGTTTTCTTTAGTTAGACTGTATCTAAAGAGCAATTTATAACTTGCAGATTACTAAATGATACAGAGAAACACAGAAGTTATAGAACTTCCTTTCCCTGTAAACATTGACTGCTCCAATTTAAATAAGGCAGAGTGAAGAACAGCACACATATCTTCAGAGAGCTGGGAATAATGGTGTATTTACAAATACCACACTTACAGTCAGTTGGTTTTGCAACTGCTTCACTTGTTGTTGCAATGCTTCCAGCTGCTGGCTTTGTCTTTTTGGGGCACCGGTTGCGTAGGAAAGCTGAGAAAGGCTGTTCAATGCTTCTTTTAGTTTGATAACTTCCTTGGACATTTCATTGATCTAGGAAGCCAAAAAATAGGTTTTCATGAAAAGCTGCAAGGCACACCATATTTCTATCTTGAGCCTCATCCTGAGGTTATTTGACTTAAATTTAAGAAGTGGGGAAAACCAAACCACAAATAAACTCAATAGACAGAGGCATCATGTAAACAAAGGGGTTACAATGCTTCTCTACCCTCTCCCTCCCAGCCCAGTCAATTCAAAATACATTCCTTGTTCTAAAAGCCGCCGACACTTACAAACAAGGATTGCATTTAGCACTTTTACAAATACTGCTTCTGAACACAAGACAGAAACACACTAAACACAGGCCAGCTATTCTGTAGCTTTTTACAAAGAAATTTGCAGTGACAGATATGGTAGCTGCAATGGCAAAATAGCTAAGATTGAGATAATGTAGTAAAATCAGAATAGTTTTTGCTCCTTTCTGATCTTTTGTTTTCTTGTCTTCTCTGGAAGCTCTTCCTGCTCTAAATACCGCTTCTTTAATTTTAGTTGACTGATAGTGTGAACTCAACCCAAGCAGAACTTACAAGGGGCAAGCTGAAAGATTGCCCATATCTCTATAGGTGAGGGAAGCCAACTGTGAAGTTAAACGTACTGAAAACTTCTTTGACTTTGATATCTGAATTTTCAGATGGGCCAACATACTGAAAAGTTGCTCCACTCCATGCCACTTGACACATCATATATTAGGTCACCCATGTACCATCCAACTTAGTTTGCAGTCTGAACTCATGCACTACCCCTCCAGTACACTGAATCACTAACCTTTTTATCTTTATCCTCTTCTAGTTTTGATGAGCTTTCAGAGTATCTTTTCATTTCAAGGAGATCTTCTTGAGCCTGGTGGTACTTTTGCTGAAGACCGGTGACCTCCCGTTCCTTTGCTTCAAGCTGACTATGCATACCTTCTTTCTCTTCTTTCAAGTGCAAAACTTCGTTTCTCAGTTGCATGGCATCTAAGGACACATTTTCTTTCTCTTGGATTGCATCCTTCAGTTTGGATGACAAAACACTAACTTCATTCTCTAGTGATGACTGGAGCTTTTCATATGTAGCCTTGGGTACCATTGCTGCATTAATGGCAGCTTTTTCTTCCAGTAATTCCTTCTGCAACATTTTTACCTCGCTTTCCTTGTTGGTAAGCTGTCCTTTGAGATCATTTATTTCTTCCTCCATTTTCTTTACAGTATTTCGGAGTGCATTCATCACCTGACGGTGTTCAGTGATTGGCAAAGAGTTTTGTTTCTGAGAATCTAACAGTTGCTTTAGCTCTTCTGCTTCATCTAATGCTTTTGTGTACTGGGATTTCATTTCTGACAACTCATTCTCTGCTTTGTATTTCAAAGAATTTGTTACCTGCATCAGTTTTTCATGTTCACCTCTAGGAATGTAGTCCAAAGCTATATCATCTATAGTTTTTCTCTTTCTGTAGTCTTCAAGCTCTGCTTGTGCTTCTTTGTACAACCGAGATAATTCACTAAGTTGTCTGTTGAGGTCATCTATCATTCTGTGCATCTCATCTTTCATTTCCCCAGCTTCAGTGCTAGATTGCAACTGTGTTTGATTTGCCAGCTTCTCCTGTAGCCTTTTAATTTCCTCTTGCCCTTCTTTGTACCTCTCAATCAACAATGCTTTCTCTTGATTAATGTTATCAATAACTGAACAATATGAATTCTTCATTTCCTCACACTCTTCCACAGACAATTTACTTGCCATATTCTGCTCTCTTTCTTCAAACTTTTTCTGTAGCTCTCTCACTTTCTCTTTTTGTCTTTCACTTTCCTCTAATGCTCTCTTCAATTCTTGCTTAAGCATTTCAACTTCTTCGTATGTAACCTTCAACCTACTCAGATCAGAACTGGTTTCTTCACTTTCAGAAGAAACAAGACCTGGCTTCATTTGCCTTTGTACATTCAAAACCTCTTTCACAGCTTCCTCATACCTGTTTTGAGGTTCTTGGAACTTCACGTTAAGATCAGAACCATTTTCTGAAATGTCTGTGCTGTTTAAATGATCTGTTTCCAGAACTCTAGACTGGACCTGAGCTTCTATGTGCTTTCTTTTGGCTTCAGAATTCTCTGATTTCCTCTGTGTATCCTGTAAGTCTTCCTGGAAGTAATTCATCTTTCCTTCACTGGGGCTTGTTAACTTTTCTTGAATTTGTGTGGCACTTAACACAGACTTCTTCAGCTCCTGAGCTGAGAACTCATTTTGTCTATCTGCTGTTTGCTCAAACTCTGTTGGGTTTGAATGAAAAGGTTCTACAGCTGAATTCACTTCTTTAGGTGTTCTTTCCTGTGCAAAAAAAAAAACAAACCAAACAACTGCACAATAAAAACAAGTACATGATATATTTTTTGAATAGAGTAAGCAAGGAAATCTTGCCACACCCTATAGGGATAGATCATGGAAAAAAGTTTTAGAAAAATTCAAAACCCAACTGCTCCCATTTAGTCATCTACAGTGAGAGAAGGCAGTAATTGCCAAGCTCCACTGAAAGTCTGGGCTGATCTACTTAAGCTAATAATCAAAGCTATGTAAATTAAAATTCTGCTAGCACAACTGTTAACAACATATTTTAGAATGTGCTCATCATAATAAACAAAGTTATTCAGTAATTTACAGAAAAGTGAAGTGATCAAAACACTGATTTAAACCTTTGGGAAAGAGCATTTCCATGATCCTACCGCCCCAAAGCTTGTTATCTTCACAGTACATCTCTTTAAAACAGAAAGCAGCTCTTTGTTCTTTTAGCAGATTAAGAGAATACTAGAACAGCATAAAAATATGCCACCTGTAATTTGTCCTGCAGCTCCTTATTGTGCAATGTCAAAGAAGCAATTTTTGCTTGCATCATCAGAAGCAGATCTTGCTGGTCAGCTTCAGAACTCACATCCAATAAACTATCAGCACCTTTGGAGAAAAAAATATTTAAAAGCTTGCAAAAAGCTAAAATGCTAGCTAGCTATTTATTACAACCCTTCAAATTAAACAGTTTGTTCCCATGACCACTAAGTGTAGTGAACGAGCAAACTGTTCCCAGAAACTCTTTCCTCAAAAATGTATTAGATCACCCAATAGAATTGGGAAGTTTTGGTGGGGAGTTGCTAGTGAAATACAAAACGTTATTCCCAATACTTATTGTGTCTCACATTCTAAGCGGAAAGGCACAGAGGTTTTCTAACTGGATTTCAACATTTCGCACCATCTAAAACACCTAACCAAATACAAAAATAAAGATTAAGTGTTATTGTATACCTGTTGTGCCGTCACTCATTCTGTCTCTATTATCCTGATGTAGGGAGCTGAGCTCTTCCTACCGAGATAACAGAAGAAAATAGTTAACAGAAAACAGATGTAAAGTTGGACAGTTCACCAAAGAGAAGTATATAAATAGTATAGATCTTGCTGGATAAAGCCTGGCAAGTGGGTTTCTTTTATTTCTGGTGTCTTGTTTAATTGTAGCAGGGGGTCAGTATTTCAAAGTCTGTTAAGCCACTCAAGTACCATTGCTTAATTTTTTTAAATGTTAGAGAAATATGAACAACTATTTCATAGATAGTTTGGAAGGCTGCAGCCCCTGTGATAAATATTAGCAATATATTGTCATGTGTTTTAAAAAAGTAATCTTCAATACCATAAGGTAAAGATCAGACCGAACACAATCAGTCATTTCCTGATATCTTTTGGTGAAAGGGTCTCTACTTCTTGTATTGCACAATGTCATTCACCTCACTGTTATTTGGTAATGAGCTCTCATCACATTAGTAGTTACTTTCACAACCATATTCACAGAATCGCAGAAAAATATTCCTGAATACTAACTAGTTTATTATTAATTCTATTTACATATTCAGTAAACATTAAAGTAATCCACACTTGCTTTATAAATCACATTGAAATAGATTTGGAATCCTTTTTGTTCCTAAAACTCAGCTGATTAATTCACAGGAAACTCTGCAGACAGCAAAACAGATTATTAAGGTACTATACTTTCCTCCCCTAAGATTAATCAGAAAGGAAAACTGATACCTTGCACACTTGATCAGCAAAGAAAGCCTGCCCTTTTCCAGTCATGGGAGTTGAAGTTGATGAATGTGGAGAGGATAAATCACTGAGCTGCAAAAGATTTTATATAAATAGATATGTATACATATGTGTACGTATAACTACCTCTCTAACATGTGCCCCTATACTTACACTCTCTATATAAAGAGTATTCTTCCCTGCACTGAAAAAATTCATAACTCTAGGTTAATTTCAAAGAACAGATCTAATTATACAGTGCCTTTCTGAGTCAGTCTTACATATGCAGTGTAGCCATCATACAGGTAACATTCCAGTTTAATATTAAACATAACTGTTAAACTGCAGTTTAACACTGCATAAATCTAAGTTTTTTACTTTCATATATATGTATGCATATAATAATGCGTACATATACATGTATAATCACAATATACATCACTATTTGCTTATGGAAGTTGGCAAAATCAGGAGACCTTCAATTTATGTGGAAGAAGCAATTGTACTGTAAAATTTGTAGAGTTGTGTCTTACACTATGCTGTATTTAAAGCAATTTTGCTTAGTTAACCTAACCGACCTGTTCTTTCATGGTGTCATCCTAATGTCAGGAAAACGACTCGTAGTAAGGCATATAAAGTAAGTGATAGAGCAAATCCAGCCCACATGATTCATATAATGTTCAAAATGCTTTTCACCCCCTAAAAGCATCTCAAAATTCATCTTTTCTTTACCTGAATAGGACTGATAGGAGGAGGTGGGGCTTTGCGTTTTTTTGGAGTTCCACTTCTTTCTGAACTTAATTTAGAGCCTTGATCATGCTGAAAGTTTCACCAGCCAGAAAAGGTAGGTTTGTTAGTTTGGTTAGTAGAGTCCGAGCAAGTTATTTTATAAAAAAAAGAAAAAGATAAAAAAATAAAAAAATTCCCACATTAATATCAACTTTAGCAGCTCATGCAGTGCCTTTAATTTTCTTCTATGTCAAGTCTACGTATCTACTAATACAAAGATATTAAACATGCCTGACAATAAGAATCTGCCCCCTTGTAATCCATGCTTCAGTGAAAACAAACAAGATTTAGTGAAAAAGCAGAAGCTGACAATAGGTTTAGCACTAGTCGTCTTAAATACTTCCATTCATATACAGTCCAGTCATGCCATTCACAACAGCTACCACTTTTCCTTTCCATCAACTTCTGCCTGAGGTCCCTGAAAAACCCACCTCTCCTTAGAGAAGGAATGAACCTGTGCATTGCACTCTCATCCACTTTCCAGCCACCAGCAGGCCTACAAGGTCTACTTGCACTCCAAGATAAGATGCTAAATAAAAAACGTAAAAAACTAATTTAATTGCCTAAATCTGTTGGGGTTTTACAGGTGGAGGTGTCCAGTAACCAGGTATAACATTCAACTGTATGTTTTGGAAAGTTCTGTAGGTCTTCTTCTTTACATTCTAAAGAGATATGGAATCCAAAAGCCAAGCTCCTGCGTTACACATGAGAAAAGTGCCATATCTTCCTGGCAAAATGCACACACACATACATACACACATTCCCTTCTTTGCCCCACTGAGGGTGCTGTCTGCTGTTACAGAGGGAAGCTAAGTCTAAACACAACGTTCCTGAAACATGTATCTTAAATAAGCAGCAAAAAACTTTCACATTACAGATGGCAGCTCTTCTCACAATGACATTTACTAGTGCTTCTAGTCATGTTGATTACTGTTTTTTCTTCAAGTCCACATAGCCCAAATATTTTTAAAAACAAAAGGACAAATACCTGCTTTGCTTTTGCTGGCGATTTTGAATCTGTGAAGCAGAAAAGAAGTGGAATTAACTGCTATCAAAGAAAATGTTATTTGCCATTGCTAACCCACCCCTCAGCTCTACTTCCCACACCACACCACGCTTTGTTTGGTTTTTGAATCCCTCTCTAAAGTCTGAGAAATATACTTCAGTTCCCAAATTCCACTTAAACCATATCCTTTCTCTGCTGCTTTTTGGGTTCCATGTTGAGACAAAATTAGGATTGCGACAGTTCTTATTCTACTGTTGTCTCACACGACTCTTGCATATTGGTTTCCTACTTTAGAAATCTGTCTTAGTTTGAGCATAAATCCCTCTGCCTGCATTAGTTCCTTGTTCAACTCTTCCACTGATGAGCTAAAAGTTCCACTTTTTCACATAATAAAAAACGATCTATTCCAAATTGCATGAAAGACTTCACAATATTGCTATCTCAGCTTACCTTTTCTTTCTCCACAACACCTCTTTTTGCCCTGCTCAGTGCCTTATCCCATGGTAAATAATACCATTGGTGGCAAAGATTGCATTTTCCTGCTTTTGGGAAGCCTCAGCCCCACCTGACGATAGGTTTTGAAAATTTTCAGGCTACCTTATGAAGTAGATTTGTTCATTGCTAAGCATGTGTTTTGCCAGTTCAGGAATGAGAAACTGGAGATTGGCAGCTCTTACATACCCACATCCTGAGATAACTTTGATGATAGGATATTCTGTATCCCTGTATTCTCAGATAGCTTGGAGTAATGCAGGGCGTTCTGTCCAAAGACATCTACTAAACTGACATCTGCACCTTTCCGAAGGAAGGCTTCCACCATGGTAAGGCTACCAGCTTCACAAGCCATCATTAAAGCAGTTCTGGACAAAACAAACAAAAAGCACACAGAGTAAGTGTCAAGAATGTACTCCTAAGCAACCAGCTCATTTCTTCAGAAAAAAGCAAAGTGTGACAATTGTGCAATAAAGTACAAGATTTTATCAACATTTAAATCGACACATATATGTAGCTGTTGTTTCTCCTTACAAGCACCTGCTTGCCCCTCCTTCTCTTCCTCATACTCCTCAGCTGGACCTTTTGCAAAGACTCGCAGGCTTTACATAAATGTCCAAACATTTCTAAAACTGAGTTTCTGAGGCTAAGAGGAGAGTCATAGATAGAAGTGGCTGCAGGAGAAAGTTAGATTATCAGATTTCACCACCGCACTGCAATCACAGCTCTGAAAGTGGTAGTAGAACATGAAAGCTTCTATTTCATTGCTGCTGCCCTTTATATGTTGCTTGTAAGACAAAACAAAGAAATGTCAACCAAAAAGCCAAACAAATCTCAAAGCTCTTCAGTGAGACTGAGAGATGGGTTTGACCTCAGATCCTGATCTATTCTCAATTTCTGTGTTTCATTTTGTTTTGTGTTTTTTGCCTTTTTAGAAGTCTGTTATAGCATGATCAACTCCCTCTTGGAAACAGGAGAGCTAGACAGTGCCAGATCCTAGAGTAATGTGGACAAGATAGGAACTTGGAGGTGTCATTTTCAGAAGTTATCCCCTTCCTGTCCCAATAAGGCTTCTCCTTTTTCAGTAAAAACTTAACTACATTTATAAACATGAAATGTAAGAGTAGTCACTCTCCTTACCAGAAGGAAAGTGAGAAGTGAGGTGACATATTTCATGTTATATGATTTTCTTGCTTCTACACACAATACTTTCTTAAAAAATACAAGTCTATCCTGTTTGTGACAGAAATGCCTGCATCCAATTAAATGGAAACTCCTAACACTGTTGATTAAACAGTAAGAGAGTGAGGGGAAGGCAGAGGTCAAAGATTAGGCAGAACCTCAGGTTCAAAGCACCAATAAGGCCATTCACACCAACCAAGACAACAAAGGCATTTTCTATAGACAATGTGAAACAAAGAGTGTGCTACTAAACTTTGGACTAATAAAAAACTAGTTAGGGCCCAGTCTAATCCTCCCAGGTGCCACCAGAGAACAATATGAGCATGGTATCACATACAATAATCACGACTATCAGGTGTAGGTGCCAAGTTTTCTCAGCATCCTGCTTTACCTTTACAGTTTAATCAACCATTTATGTTTTATAAACATATTTTTCAAAGACTCTTGATGTTCAACAGTATCATCAAAACAAATGCATTTTTCACTACAACGTTGTTTTTCAAATTGTTTTCTGACCCATGCACTGTTAGTGCAACAAATCTCTAAATCAGAATATATCTACTACACAGCTTTACTGTATTTTTCTCTTGCTGTTGTGGCTGTATTATGGTAGAAAAAAAGAATCCTCCACAGTTTTAGGATTTAAGTTGGAGAAACTAACTCATGCCAAGAAGAGAGCAGCATTTAAAACTAAGAAACATACAAAGTGATGTGTAGATAAGTGCTTTCAATCAAATTCTTGTAGGAATTATTTAAAATTGGGATTTACTGTTCTGGTAGCCCAAGGCAGATCTTACAGGCACATCTAGTTTTATAGCTGCGTAGTTTGTTTCACCATTCCCTTTAGCAAATACTGTATACCCTACCAACAAGTAGGATTTGCTGTCTAGTACAGAAGGCATTATTTCACCTAACAACAACTCTTTGGGGAAGAATGCACAGAGATTGTGGATGCTCCCTCCCTAGAGATGTTCAAGGCCAGGTTGGATAAGGCCTTGAGCAACCTAGTCTACTTAAAGGCATCCCTGCCTATGGCAAGGAGGTTGGATTAGATGATCTCTAAGGTTCTTTCCAACCTAAGACATTTTATTATTCTATGATTCTATGAATTTGATAAGAAAGCTTCATCTGACATTTAATCTTGGGGAAGAATTGATATGTTAAGCTGCTGTACCTTCCATTTTTATCCCTGGTGTTGACATCTGCTCCATGATCCAGAAGGTACTTACAGACTTCTGTGTGACCATTTTGTACTGCAAGCAGCAGAGGTATGTTCCCATCCTATGAATACGTTATAAAAAACGACAACTATAAACAATAATTCATCCACTTACAAATGTCACTCTGAGATTTAAAGGTCAGCTATGAACTTAACTTCCATATAGCACAAACGAGTACGTTTAGCACAAATCAGCACATTTTTCTTGTGTACTATAAATGCAGCTGAGTTTACTTTAATTCCTTTCCTGGTCATTGGGAATGCAAAATATTAGGAGGAGAAATGCTCTTCGCTGTTTGTAGTCCCTTTGCTGTTTGCTTAATGATGATTTTGGAACTACATATTATCTTTAAAAAGCTTCACCACAAAAATCGTAGTTTTAACTAAATATGAGGCAAAAATACAATTCTTCATGTAATCACAAAATAAGTTAGTTGGAAGACACCTTTACAGGTCAGCTGGGGTTTCTCCCTCTTTGCTCTCAATCCAAAGCCAGGAAAACTTCAGGTTATATTGCTCAGAGACTTGTCCAGCCAAATTTTAAGCATCTCACAAGGCAGAGACACCCAGCCAGGGGTATGAGTTCCAGTGTCTGACCACCTTCAGGGTGAGATTATTTTTTTTCCTAGTGCTTAACTGGAATTTTTGAACTAGGTCCACTGCCCATTTTCTGACCATTGCTTGCTGTTATTTTGTCATGTCCCTCTGAAGCTGGTCTGACTACCTCTTTTCTATTATCAACCAAGATGTAGCTAAGGACATTCTAAAGATGCCTTCTCTTTTTAAGACTGAACAAATCTTTTCTGCCTTTAGAATGTATCTGCTGAAATTTTAGGTGTAATCTCTGTGATAGGTTTTTTTATTAGAAAGACGAGACCAGTAGGAGACAGATACAATTAAATAAAAATAATTAAATATTTGTATGCTATTTTAAATTTTTAAATTTTTTTTTATTTTGTGCCTCATTTCTGTCAGATCCCCACTGTTTATCATCAGAGGGTTTTCTATTGAGTAGTTGTATCCTTCCCAAAAGTAGACCTAGTTGAAAAGATTTCGTAGTAGTAAATGCAGTGTCACTTAGCCTTTAGACTACATCAAGTATACTTCTTCCTTGCACAATTACTGTACTCAATGCCTTTTGCAAAGCCTACCAGAGTCAATGGAGAGACCTTTAATCATGTTTTGAGTATATCAGAACTGACTTTAGCTATGTGTACTAATGCCTCAATTCAACAAGAAGCAAATCCTGCCACTGCTGTATTAGATTGTGAAGTACTTCCCCATCTCTGTTATCGCAAGCAGAAAAATGAACTTCCTCCACCAGAGAAATCCAAGAAGAAATATAAGCATAAAATTGCTTCAAACTGCTGCACCTGAAGTTCACTGGAGTGGAAGGTGGTAAAAGCTCTGAAGTATCGAATGTGAGAAGAGATACGTACCAAATCTTTGATGTTAATCGTACATTTGTGTTCACAGAGAAGCTGTACTGCCTGAAGACAACCACATGAAGCTAAAAAAAAAATAAACCAAAAACCACCATGGAAATAATTTTCTCATTTTCAAAATTTGCATTCTGCATTTCCACTTGCAGTACTGCAGCATCACAGTGGGGCCCAAGAAAACACAAATTAAACTGTATTTCTCTGTTTCAAGAAGGAAGGAGAGAAAGATTAAAAAGGCGTATATGAAGTTGTATGCAGAAATACAACCAATACGCGTGGTCTAAATTAGCATGAGAAGATACAATTTTTACTTAAATAAAAATTAACCTAATCTTAAGTATTCCAATGGCTCTGTACTTGCAAATCAAGCCTGTTAAAGGTAATTAACTGAAATTCAGTATTAGTAGCATTTATCTAAAAAATACCTAACATTTGTAAACCATCAGGTGAAGTTGCTAGCTTTATGGAATTAGAACATAAAAGACTCCACCAATCTGAAGAGCTAGGAATATCAAACATGGCAAAATAGAAAGTACAAGGTTTCAACAGTTACCTGCATAATGTAGAGCTGTTTTCCCAGAATTGTCAGTGCTGTCTGTTGGACATTTACTCTGCATATTTCAGTAAGGAGAAGGAAAAAAAACTCAATTAGAGAAACACTAAAAAAATAAAACATATGTTTGATGCTAAGGACAGAGTGTTGAACATTTTGAGAAAATTTTACGAGCCACTCCTGAAAAGAACACTGAAGACAGGCACAGCTTTCCTCTGTACCAGTCTGGTCTCTCCTTTTTGCATGATAAGATATGACCCTGAAACAATGGCTTTCCAAAAAGCAAATATTAGACCTTCTGACTTTAAAATGTAGCACTGCTTCTGTGATTTTCTAGGAAAACATGTTCACATAGATTACCACACTCTGTAACAAAAATGTCAAGATTTGGACTGTAAAATAATTATTTAGCCTGTTTAACTCATCTCCAGCACGTCAAGATTAGAGATTCTTCAAGTGTAGTTTGTATCCCTACACTGGTCCACAGAAGCAAGAAAGCAATCCAGAGAGCATGTATTACTGGAGAATATTACCGATGGGTTTGCACTTAAAAACGTATTTAGAAATCTGCATATTGTAATAAAAGTAGCAAAATATCAACAAAAGCACTCTGCGATTGTAGCTGGTAAGTGAACAGGCAGCAGATATTTGGTATTCAGCACATACCTGTCTGCCTAGTTGCTGAGTTTTACCAAGCTGCTGCATGTGATACCATCAGTGACAGCCTGATGTCACTGTTCATGCTGTAAATGGGTTTGCGTTAGCAGTAGTAGGTATTGGCAATGCAATCCTGAAGCCTCAGTGGTTAATGGGAACCCTTTCCAGGTGTGGAGGAACACTGGAGTCAACTTGCAATGAGTATGGAGGTGTAAGTCTGTGAAATTGGACCCAATATTGTCAGAGACACTGACAAGGGAAAGTCCAGGGCAAATGGAGAGCCCTGAGGTAACCCAGGAAAAGCAATATAGAGGTTGGGATATGAGATCCATTCTCTTTCTGTACCACTGTGCTTGAGAAGGTTTATTGTTCATTACTTCATCTATCCTCTGAGCCGCGTTCTTACTAATAACTCCAGTTTCTTCTTTGCCTTCCACGAAATCTCAGCTTTCTGAAATGGAGCTGAGATGGACAACATCTCTTCTTGTTACTAATCTGCTGCTTGTTAATGCAAATCCTCAGCCTCTACACGACAAGAATCTTCTCTTCATCTTCACTTTTGTTTTTCTTGTTTTCTTTCTCCATTCTTTCTACTCCATTTCTAGCACCTCACCACCCTTTGCCTCATTTTAATGAGGATTCAAGTATTTCCATGTTTTACCATCTGAACTACTTTAGTTTCTTCTTCCTTTGACTTTAAATTTAACAGGCATTTCTATGGCCAACAGCAGACAGCTGGCATACCACCAGTGGAATAACATGAAAATTGTCCTAGAAGTGAAAATGCCTTTTTCCTTTCCTAACCCATTAAAACACAGGTACTTACAGAGAAGTTGCAACCTGCTTGAAACCCAGTCCTGCTATGTCAGATCAGGTGCACATGGAAAAATCTGTTTGTGGGCCATGCAGTGAAGATATCACACTGTTTTCTATCATCTATTCACAGTGCCTAAAAGGTCTTTAAACTCAAGCACCTTTACTGATTGCGAGGAGATAGGACAACAGTATAGGAGCTTAACAGGAAATGTGTCACTATCTAGTAGAACCAAGCTAGAAGAACAAAAGGCAAAAAATAAAAGAAAAAACTGATTTAATTTTTACTTTACCTGAAGCAACTTCTTAATGCAATCCGGGTGGCTGTTCTTTGCTGCAAGATGTAAAGCAGTGTGCCCTAAATAAATAAGAGCAAAGCAAATTATTCAGTCATGCTGAAGCACAGGAATAAGCTCTTCCATGACAAAAGCAGAATTTTGAATTATCTAGCCTGTTCCTATCATGACACATAAAAAGTAAGGATAGAGGAAATAAAATAAAACCCTACATCAAGCAGAATGTATTTACAACAGGCTATTGTTCAGGCAGGTACCATTATAATCTTAATGACTAAGTTCATATAAAGGAATGACACAAACACTGTACCAGGCTATACCTTGGAAGAAGTAAGTCTAAGATTGTGCAGCTATGTTTTGTTTCTTAAAAACCAATTTTTCTATATTACTCAGCCTTTCTTGCAGAGAGATATCTGTGAAGCTTCATGATTTCTTCCATTTCGCAATGAGAAAGGAACCTAGCACCAAAAGCAAAACCAGCCAGATTCACCAGTTACCACTAAAAGGCCGTTGTATCATTGATGGAGTGTGTACGGAAGTGGATTCAGAACACTTACTTCAGTCTGCATCTCACAGATTCCGTTTTCTGTCAATTTATTTAGCGTCTGTGAGCTAAGTTTAGCTATGTAACATGATTTACTGACTATGGATTTATGATGAAAGACTGCAGTCTCTCCTCTAGTTTCATCTTACAGAACATCTGAAAAATGAAAGAGGCCAAGACAGAAAAAGAATAAATTACCTATGCAACTAAGAAGGAGCCAAGATTTAGTACTCCGTAGAGAGCCACTCGTGACAGTAGAATGTCACTGTAAATAGTGTGACTGTTACAGACAAGGCTCTCTCCAATGAATACTGGGTTGACACTCTCATGTGAGAGCAGGCAACCTCTTGTTATCCAAACAGCTAATAAATCCTGAGGCAAGATGAAGTATGCACTGTGAATAATAGTCTGTATCAGGTACATATATTCTCTTATCATTACGTATAATCTGAATGCTTCTTACAGTATCACATGCACTTCCTTATAGAGGCAAATCATTTCCATGTATGACAGAAATTCCCTCAGGCTGCAATCAGTAGCCAAAACACAACCCACGAGCCCAACATTTACAGATCTTTGTTGAAGAGACAGAATGCTGACAGCTCATTCAGGTGACTTGGCTAGCCAGAGAAAACACTGGGCACAGATTCCATAGATATGTCAACTGAAATCTATTAAGAAGAGCTTACCAGTTTCAAATGCAGCTCCCATCAGTCTCCTAGTGGAGCAGTAATTAAGGCATAGGACTTTGAGGGGCTGAAACAGCATACTTAATAGCTCTCAGCTCTTTTTTGCCCTGTATCAGCTCTTTTCACTATGCCATAATCCTGAGGAAATGTCTTACTGCAACTCATGTAGAGTTAATGGGGTTAATAGCTTGGATAAAGATAAAAGCAACACCAAAGATCTTTATTTAACCCATTAAAAGCCTCAAATGAAATAAAAAGGAAGAGCTGGGGTAGGGGGCCTATTTAAAAAAAAAAATTAAATTAAATTAAATACTGAGCAACTATGGTGTATCTGAAGTCCACTGTAAATGCTGACACTTATAGTACTACTACAAACGTTTTTAAGGCTTTTGGAATCCAAATTCTCTCTGCAAAAAAGTACGTATGCCTAAACCTGCAAGTGTTACAACTGCTATTCCTACATGGTGTGTGGGGAAAAGCAGTACTGCCAAATCCGTAGCTGTACTCTGCACATCAAGAACTATATAGGTGAATTGAGTATATTAAGCTACACGTGTAGGTTCGAAGAGTCATACCTGCACCATCTTGGGCTGTCACATCTGCACCATGTGTCATCATGATCCTGAGGCACTCTGCATGCCCTCTGGTGGCTGCCAGGTGAAAACTGGAAGAGAGCATTTACATTATACTTTTCTTTCATTAAGACCTCTTTTCTCTTTCATTAACAAACTAAGTACTGGCAAGTTCTCCCTTCCCTGTCCTTAGATCTTCTGGCATCCCTCTACTGCCTCCCAAGAAGATAATAGCTCTGAAAGTGAGAAGACACATCACAAAGGTTTTGTAGTCATGATTTTACACGGGCCACTGTCTTATTAACCCATACCTTATGTGCCTCGTCCTATCCAATTTCTAAACTAACATCCCTAAGTGATGCAATATATTCACACAGAATGCCTGGGCTTTCCACAGTCATTCTTGATTTCCCTCTTTCAGTGGATAAAATGTAGCTCCTCTAAAAGGTGATTCAGCTCCTGAATAAACCTAAATCAAGTTGTGCTTCTGCACTGTCCCTCAGAGTCCTTGGTGTTTGTGAATATCACCTGGAGAAATCAAGCTATTAGATACTTGTGAGACTATGCTAGAGACGTATTTTTTCAACTTTTAGTTTTGCTTTTCACCTTAAGGACCTGCTTGTTTGAAAGTGGGAAACTGCAGAAGTTATCAGCCACAACACAGCAGGATGCACTTAACAGCATCAATTACAAAAAATACAATTACAGAACAAACCAAAGAGGTTACATTGAATTCAAGACTTTTTACAACTGAAAGTTCATGCTTGACATCCGTGACACCTCAAGATTCACAGAAACAGTCCTATACACATATGGCTGACTTAATTTTGCTAGGAAGTAAAAACAAAGGAAAAGCTTCTGAAAACAGAGGAGTTTATATCGTCCTGATGCACATTGTGGCAACATCAGCAAGTCTCAATATCTGGGTACAGCATGGGCAGACATACCACTTCACTGTGGGTCCTACCAGTATCAATTTAATATACGGAGCTGTTTTCCAGTGGAGGTAATGTAACAAAAAAATAAGACAAATCACTTCCAATTACATGGTATGTGAAAAGCTGGAACTTTCATCAACGAGCCCCAAACTGAAAAAGCTAGTATTCCTGGGATGTTTTCTAATACCTTTTAAAGAAGACATTAGTTTTTAACATCAAGTACCCCCATGTTAAAGGCATTTTCCCCTGGAATTTAAAAAAAATGTCACAAATCATGTAGCCATACCAACTGCTGTGTTTAAGAGTTTACATTTTGAACAACTGCTTCCTTTAAATGTTAAGACTAACACAGAAAGTTCAGTCTGCTAATCAGGGAAACTGGGAATAACAGTTTGAATGCAACAGATATTTCTGGCACATACTATGTGAACTGCAATGCTTTATTTCTCTAACCTGTAGACTTCTTTGCAGACTTCTTGAAAACTCAGCAGTGAAAAAGACCTACGGATAATATCTGGCAAAGGGTAGAGAAGTAATCAAAACAGGAGAGCTCCTGGAACCGTCTTTTGTAAAGTACAGCAACTAGCTCACTTCCTACAAGGATTCCTTCCACGCTGGCTGCTGCTGATTGCAAATGGCAAGAAGGCAGCTCTTAAGTTTCAAAACACAAAAATATCCTGTGTGCTCATCCTCATCCTTACTATTGCCATAAACAAACTGAAGAGTTAACACTTCCAAGAGCATAAGAAGCCCTGCTGCTGGCTGTTCTCTAGTTATTCGAAATCAAAACTTCATGTACTTGGTGACCAATACAAAGTTGTGTAAACATTCTTCTTCAGAAGAGGTTTCTCAGGCTCTGGGAAAATGACTGGGGGAGGGACACAAAAGGAGTCTGACAAATTCCAACACCTCTAATTTAGCTGGCCCAACATACCAGCAAATACCAAAACACATTCAGATACATTTGTGTAGGCACACAACACAATTAAAGTCATTTAAATATTAGGAAGGCTGTGAAGCACGCACTTGGCTTACTTATACTTGACAATATTCATAAGAATAATAAATACCTGAATAATAATAACTCAGCTAAATCTGGGACATTTAGGTTTTATAGACAGACTGTAGGATGGTGCCAAATGCAACATGAATATGCAAGTGCAAAAGAAGTTTTATTTTAGGTAAAATCAGATTGCAAAGAAAGTATCAAACAGAGAAGAAAAGCTTAACCCCTTTCAGACCTATTAACTTACCAGCCCCACCAATGAGAACAATCCCCGTGGCAGTTCTCAACAAGTTGTCACAAACACAAATGCTTTGTTTCACATGGACAAAAGTATTTTCAATTGAAAAAGGCCTGATTAAAAACATTGATTCTCCCAAATTGATGGGATGAAGGAAACATCATCTGCAAGCTGTACAGGTGGTATGCAAGATGAGAGAACACCTATGAAGGTTGTAAAGATCTGATGATAGCAAAAATACAGTTTCTATGTAGGGAATCCCATGAAAAGAAAGGATTACAAGGTTATCAGGAGTAGTCAGCATGGATTTACCAAGGGGAAATCATGACTAACGATTTTGACTAATCTGATAGCCTTCTGTGATGTCGTGACTGAACAGGTAGATGCAGGGAGACCAGTGGATGTAGTCTACCTTGACCACAGCAAGGCTTTTGACACGTAACATCCTCGTGAGCAAGCTCAGGAAGTGTGGGACATAAGAACAGACAGTGAGATGGATTAAGAACTGGCTACACAACAGAGCCCAAAGGGTGATGATCAACGGTGCTGGGTCCAGCTGGAGACCTGTAACTACTGGAGTCCCCAGGGATCAGTGCTGGGTCCAGTCCTGTTCAACACCTTCATCAGCTACCTCGATGACAGGGCACAGTGTCTTCTCAGTAAGTTTGCTGATGACACAAAGCTGTGAGGCTTGGCTGATACACCTGAAGGCCGTGCAACCGTTCAGCAAGATTTGGACAAACTGGAGAGCTGGGCAAAGAGGAGCCTAATGAGGTTCGACAAGAATAAGTGCAGGGTCCTGCACCCAGGAAGAAACAATAAAATGCACCAGTACAGGTTAGGAGGCGATGTGCTAGAGAGCAGAAACGTGGAGAAGGACCTGGTAGACAAGTTATCCACAGGAGAGCAGTGTGCCCTTGCGGCCAAGAAGGCCAATGGTGTCCTGGGGTGCATTAAGAAGAGTGTGTCCAGCAGCTCGAAGGAGGTTCGCCCACCCCTCTACTCTGCCCTAGAGAGACTTACCTACAGTACTGCACCCAGTTCTGGGCTCCCCAGTTCAAGAGGGGCAGGCTTTTACTTGAGAGAGTCCAACGGAGGGCTACGAGGATGATTAAGGGACTGGAACAGCTGCCCTATCAGGAAAGGCGGTGAGACCTGGGGCTTTTTAGTCTGGAGGGGAGAAGACTGAGAGGGGATCTAATTAATGCGTATAAGCATATGAGGGCTGGGCATCAAGAAGGAAGGGACAACCTCTTTTCACTTGTGCCCTGTGGCAGGACAAGGGGCAATGGATGTAAGCTACAGCACAGGAAGTTCCACCTCAACATGAGGAAGAACTTCTTTACTGTGAGGGTGAGGAAGCCTGGCACAGGCTGCCCAGAGAGGTCGTGGAGTCTTTCTCTGGAGACCTTCAAACCCCGCCTGGATGCGTTCCTGTGTGACCTGCCCTAGATTCTGTGGTTCTGCTTTGGCAGGGTGAGTGGACTCGATGATCTCCGGAGCTCTCTTCCAACTCCTAACATTCTGTGATTCTGCGATTCTGTGAACATACTGCAGTCATATTTAAGCCAGTGTATTTACAGAGTGTTAGGCAAAAAACTCCCCTTGAGGAGCAATTCTTACTGATTCAAAAGTTAATAGCCTCTGTTGGTAGGGGCTTTTTTTTCCTGTTCTTTCTTCTTTTTTTCTTTTTTCTTTTTTTTTGTAAAAAAAACAACAAACCAAACCAAACACTTCAGTAGTAGATACTGAGGACTTTTGTGCGGCAAGCGAGGCTCTTGAAACAATGAAGCCTACAGACATTCATTTCAGTACAGAATAATTCTTTGCAAACTACATAAACTTTCCTAAAATAATTGAGGGAAAAGCTGCAGGTTCCCAAACACTGGATTTCCCACCATCTGGAAATCTTAAGCCGGGGTGCACTTCACTTGCATCTTTCATGAATAAACTTCCCTTGGTATGAAAGCAAACAACTTTTCCTCCCACTTCCTGGTTGTGCAATGACTTAGGAAAACAAAAACAAACATGTAAGGCTCAATTTGGAGCAAAGACCACACTGAGGGTTAGATTCTCTTTCAGCCTAAAATCCCATTACACCATAGTTCATTTTCCGTTCACAATAGATAAGCCTGTTATTACCACTTAAGAGTCGCATACATCTTGATACCCCAGACTGAATTGATTTGAAATAGATTTCTTTTTTGCTGTAAAACATTTCTATTCTTCCTGAAGGGCGGGGTGGTCTTCTACTATTGTCTTCAGATCTTTCAGTGCAGCAGAGGAGCAGAAACCCTTCAGAGTGATTTTCTTACTGGATCCAGACACGAAGCAAGTCAGCATTTGAGACCCACCTCTGGCAGCAGCTGATAAAGACCAGTTGGTTGACACTGTTTCTTGCAGCTGGGAACGCACAGGTTTCATAACTACTGAGTCCTTAACAAGATAAAGTAAAAAATTATGTTCTTTAGGAGGAGCACAAAACCTAGGTGGAGTAAACAGGCCTTGAGAGTAAAACCAAACATACGGCAGAACAGCTACGAGACTACCACTTCAAAGCCCTGTCGGGACCCCAAATTTCCTGACTAGAAATGCTACTCACAGAACATTTTCAAATACACTGATAAGAGAGACGCTTTTTATAAATGCTTGGCAGCTGAACAGAGTGGACAGCTGTATATGATACCTTTGAACTAGTTTTAAACAGTAGATTTCTTAAAGATATGTCAACTGGTGAAGAAAGCTGTCCTAAACAAGCCCATCCCTTATTCAAGGCAAAGGACTTTTTCCACATTTTGGTTATAAAGTTAAGCTAGCAAAGGGATAGAGACTTCTTCAATCAGTGTCTGACAGACAGAGCACAGGAGTTCAGAAAAAAAGTTGGTCTTTGCTTAAGAGGGCAAAAATGAG